GCTTTCCTCTTAGGAAATGGTTGTTCTCTGTTCTTGCTGACACAAATCCAATCCAAAGCTCTAATGCTGAGTGGAAATGTTGAGGCACCTCTGGATGAACTCTGAGTTTCAGCTCTGAAACTGTCTGGTGTTAAATTATCATGTTATGCTCTACTACAATAGTCTATTTTTATTTCTGTAACTCCAGGCAAACCCTGCGCTATCGCTCTCAGCCATTTTGGATTTACATGTTATGTTTTTAAGAGTGAGTTTTAATGTACAGAGGGAGCAGAAAATATCAATTATTTCATGGTTTACACCGATGTGTTTCTCTCCAGGTGAAGAAAAACTATGAAGCATTACGTCAGAGGGAGGAGGAGGAGAGGATGGTGCAGAGCTCACCCTCTAGAGGAGGGGAGAACCCTCAGTCTGTCAGTAAATGGGAGAAGGAGAGCCATGAAGCCACCAGGGAACTGCTGAAAGTCAAAGACAGACTCATCGAGGTGGAGAGGAATGTAAGTTATCAAAATATCAGGACTTTAGGATGGCTTATGTGAATTTTCCTTTAAGAATGCCTATTACACACATTAGAATTATTTTCTGTTTGATACTACAGTATATGTTTTGTTTTTTTTCCCCAGAATGCCACGCTGCAGGCTGAAAAAGCGGCCCTGAAGAGCCAGCTCAAACAACTGGAATCTCAAAGCTCCAACTTGCAGGCTCAGATAGTGGCCCTGCAGCGACAGACTGCCTCATTACAGGAGAACAATACGACACTACAGACGCAGAATGCCAAGCTGCAGGTAGCGCCCTACCCATCGTACACAACACAGTGCCCAGTGAGAGAGCTAAGCTATCAGTCTACTAGTGTACGCCTGAAGTCGCAGGCCTGCCTCACTTAAATGCAGCAAAGTCTTTTCTGATCACTTAAAGGGCTTACTATCTATGTTAGCTTAAAATGTGAAAGTTGATGCTTGACCTTGGAAACAGCAATTGATGAAAAAGTTTCACCACAACGTTAATGGTAGTAGCTCTTCTGGAGCTTTCAGTCGTACCATATGATCTTAATCAGCTGATAGAAATGTAATTGTAATTTATGACTGAATAGGGTATTTTTATGTTTTAATTCAATGTAAGGAATGTAGTTTCCTAATGTTATTGTCAGTTTAATTTATATAACCTAAAATCACAAATCAGTTTGGTATCAGATGGCTCAAATGGCTTGGGTTATGATAATGTCTGAACCTGTAGCAAGGATAAAATGCTTTCTGAAATTTTGTATAATCCTTTGTGTAATATATCAATAATCCTACATTTTTAACACAAAACTCAAAGCCATCCAGCCTTTTTTCTGTAGTGCTCTGTTTGTACAGTCGCCCTGCCAGGCTGCTTAGCTCCCTGCTGTGGATTTAGACTTGTATTCCCTGTTTGGCAACAATTCAAACCCTGCTTATGACCGGATTTACACTGACCATACAGTAGCTTCTTGCTCTTTGTGTATGTGTGAAGTGGATTGTGTGTGTCAGAGGCGTAGTAAGGCAGATGATGATGGTGATTGTAGTTTTAAACAAATCAAATCTCACACCCCCTGCTCAATGTTTCCTTCCTCCACTCATCTCTTCTTGCGCGCCCCCTTCTTCAACTCTCACCTCCTTTCTCCAATTCTCTCGTGATACTTTTTTTACAACTTTTTCCCTCTTTTCTATATTTTACCTTTCTCTTTCTTTCCACTTCATTCATTGTTATTGCAATTCCTTTAGCCCTTGTCTTCTTCCTAACCTCCATGTTAACTCCTATTTACTTAATATATCTCCTCCATCCACACTTTAGGTGGAGAACTCTACCCTGAGCTCACAGAGTGCAGCGCTCATGACCCAGAATGCCCAGCTGCAGAGCCAGCAGAGCAGCGTGGAAGGTGAGCGTGAAGGAGCACTGAAAGAGAAAGAAGAGCTGAGGGCCACCTATGAGATGCTCCTCCGTGATTATGAGAAGCTGGCAGCGCTCCATGAGAGGCAGGCGGCTGAGTATGAGGCCTTAATAGGAAAACACGGCGGCCTGAAGACCTCCCACAAGAACCTGGAGCAGCAGCACAGGGACTTGGAGGACAAGTGAGATGGCGTTTTTACAGCTTGGGATGGGCACATGCTCGTCTTATTACAGTTCAAGTCTTGCTGCTGACTTTATGCACTATTTTGACCTTCTATAGGGTCAATATTAAACAATTATAAAAGCAACCATGCTGGGTAAATGGAAGAAACTGTACGCCTCCTGACATGATGTATATACCTGTTTGTATTACCTCCCTTTCCAACTTAAATCTTTCTTTATGTAACTCATGGATTGGTTCTCAATATGTATGTGTGCTTTTTCACACATGCAGGTATAAGCAGCTGCTGCAGAGGAAGGGGGAGCTGGAGGATCTGGAGAAAAATCTAAAAGAGCAGCAGGACAAGATGGCAGTAGAGAACCAAACGCACCAAGCCACAGCTGACCAGTGCAAACTGCTCAAAGAGGAAAATGATAGGTCAGATCAGCCTGTGTCAATAGTTTTGTATTAACACTATGCAAATTAAAGTGATGCAACCTTTTTAAATTTTGATCATTTCCTTAAATTATACCTTGAAATGTAGAAAAGCCCCCTTTACTGTCCATGCATGTGTCTAAATATTGAGCAGTCCTTCTGTTCTCTCCTCAGACTGAATACTACCTATTGTCAGCTGCTCAAGGACAATGAGAATCTCCAGTTGGACCACAAGAACATCAAGAGCCAGTTAAACAGTGCTAAGTTGGAGCAGACAAAGCTGGAGGCTGAGTTCTCCAAACTGAAGGAGCAGTACCAGCAGCTGGACATTACTTCCACCAAGCTCACCAACCAGTGTGAGGTAAGGAGTATCTCTTCTCCCCTCCAGCCAGCTGTCTTTACCCGTTTTAATATATGCTGTTTGTAGAGAGGGTTTCTTAAGCCAGCTGTGTTGTGGATCACTCACCCCTTTAATGTATCATATTTGAAGTTGAGGCAGGTGTCATAGCTTCTCTTTAATATGTGTATTAGTTGTTGAGCCAGCTAAAAGGAAACCTGGAAGAGGAGAATCGCCATCTGTTGGACCAGATCCAGACTCTGATGCTACAGAATCGCACACTGCTGGAGCAGACCATGGAGAGCAAGGACCTGTTCCATGTAGAGCAAAGACAATACATGTAAATCTTCATAATGTATTTTCTTTAAGAGGGACAGCAAACTTGTTTTCTTGATGCAGTTATTTTGATATTCCACTAATATGTTTGGAAAACTGCCTTTAAACTCTTATTTGTTATACTGGATATTGGATCTATTGTCCTTTCTCTACCCTTCAGAGACAAGCTGAATGAGCTGAGGAGACAGAAGGAGAAGCTGGAGGAGAAGATCATGGACCAGTACAAGTTCTATGACCCCTCACCTCCACGCAGGTAAAATGCTACTTCATCTGGTTACATCAGTAAAAAAAAAAAAAACTGAAGAAACCTCTCAAAACCAACATTTATATGTAAAATAACCTGGTTATGAGTGGTGTGACTCAAACACACCAGTGTATTATAGAAAACTATCATGTAATATTCTTATCTCAGGTGGGGAAATGGCAGAAAACACTGCAGCCACAGGAAGGGATGAGTCAATATTTATGGTCTGCAGAGCTTTAAGCAGCTTTGTACTGCAGTGATTGTTAAACTTGATGTAGAGGCTACAATAAAGCCTTGAAGTAGCAAACATGCGTGGAATGCATCAGAGCTAAAATACATCCAGCATTCATATTATTTTTGGTCCCATTTTCTATTCTTTTGTTCCTGAGTGTCTCTGTCTCACATTCTGCCCCATCTCTCCTTTATAGGCGTGGCAACTGGATCACTCTGAAGATGAAGAAGTTGATCAAGCCGAAGAGCCGGGAGAGGATGCGTTCGCTCACACTGACTCCATCCCGTTCAGAATGTGGGGACGTGTTCCTGAGCTTTCCTCAGGACAGTCAGGACAGCTCGTCTGTAGGCTCTGGCTCCAACTCGCTGGATGACACACTCAGACAGAAGAGGAGCAACCGTGAGTACAAATGAAACCCATGTACACACAGTGACCAAGAATACAGACACATAATCATACACTCACATACCCACAAAACACACTTCTACTTGGTGTGTGTGTGAGTGATTAAATGGGTCTTTCCTTCTGTAACTGCTCCTTTGTTTCTTTATCCCACACACTCTCTCTCTGCAAAGGGAGGAGAGGGCAGCAGCCCCATGCCCAAGGGCAGGGTTCTTCCAATGGTATGCTGCGGATGGGGAGGGTGGGCGGGGTTTGTGAGCCGGCTGTCATTCGGGCATGTTTTCGTGAGTCCGTTGTCCATGTCACTCAGCTGTCATAGAGGTTACAGGTGAGCTGCACTGCACCACAACGTTGACTCTTGTCCATGGGCCTGGTTCAAAACGTAGATGCATTTTCTGTGTTTGAAACAAGAGATGGTGCGCTTGATTTCTCTGACCTGAAGTGTAAATTAAGTGTCCACCATTAAGTTGGACATTTTGGAAAATTGGCCTATTACCTTTTTTGGCACAGAGTTTGGTTTAAAAAAAAAACAAACAATGAGTGGTAGGATTATTCTCTACTAACTCATCAGAAAGCCAATAAGCACAAGTTTCCCAAAATGTCAAACTGTTCCTTATTTTGAACCAGGTCCAGTTGACTGTTGTTTATTCTAACAGGCCAAAGACTGGTTAGCTCTCATGGTTAAAACCATGTCAACCTGCTGATCTGTGCAGTTCACCTGTAAATAAGAAAGAAATGTCTAACATAGCATCATGGCTATTAAAAGGTGCAATGCATTGTCAACGTAAGATGTGTCATATTCAGTTGTACGTATCTTAACTGTACATGGGCTCGTAGGGTTACTTCTTAATATAAGCATGCTTAAAGATGAAACTAAATGTTTTATTCCCTGAAATATGAACATGAAGTACTGTAAAGTGAAAGGGTAGTCAGTATGATAATACAAGTGGGAAAGGTTAAAGTACAAAATGCATTTCTTTTATTTCCATTTAAAGTAACCTTTAACACTAAGATAACGAAAAGGTACTCGTTGACAAAAGTGTAATAAAATGTAAATTACAACAACTGTACCAAAGACATTACATAGTCAGGTATTCATTAATAAAGTTGGCAGTTATTTATTCTTTCTGGCAGAACTAGAAACACTGTAGTTGTCCCTGATGTTGCCCTTTGACCTTCTCACCCTCCTGTTGCACCCTTTAATACCCTTCGTCTTCTTGACTCATCTAGGTGTCGTATTGTGTCGGTGGTGTGTAATGTTTAACCAGTATTACAATACAACACGTGATCATCAACATGAGTGTGTTTGTGTGTAGTTGATTGGATGCTGATGGAGTGTGTGTTTGGACAGTGTGTTTACATTGTTTTAGTTGCATTTTCTGCACAGACGTCTGCCCTTAAAAGTTTTATTCAGGTTTTAGAGAAGTTTGTAAAAGACATTTCAGTCCATCCAGCACTTTTTATTTTATTTAAAAATTACAGACCTAAATTGTGATCAGTTTATTTTTGAACAGAAATGTTCAGCTCCATTAACTTGTACTAGCATTGCTAGTTTATTTCCATTAAATAACAAGAAGGAATCATATTTGTATTGATTGAAATGAAATGCAGTCTTGTCAAAATCAAATAGGCTTTGTAATGACATAATTCATGCCATTGTAGTGTCTATTGCAGTGTTGTCTCTTGTCCAGTTGGATGTCCAGGAGCTCAGTTCTCTCTGCTGTCTCCCTGGCTCGGTTTGCGACAACGTTAACCTCATCCCTCTGTTTTGTCCCCCCCGTCCACCTCCCTCACTCTCTCTCCCCCTTGTCCATCTCTGGCTGCACTCTGACAGCTTTAAAGTTGCCTTTCATGAGGAACAGATCCAAGGACAAAGACAAGGCCAAAGCCATCTACCGGCGCTCCATGTGTAAGACCTCAGTTAGCCGCCACTCTAGCTCTCCTCCGCCTCCTTGTCCTTCCAGTGTCATTGTAGGAGAAACAACGAAGGATCAGTCACTGATGTCAGAGTGGCTGCAGTCCTTAAACTAATCAAGTATACAGTGGGATTACTTTCCATTTACTGAGTTTGAAGTTGTCTGATGTCTTGTGGAGATGTCTGCACAAGAATTACCATTGATTCAATTTTTTTGTTGCATACCCCAGTGCTGCATTTGGTGACATCAGTGACTCGTCCTTGTAGTCTTTCCCCTAGTAACCCCGACCTCTTTGCCACCTCCAGCCGCCTTTACTCCCTCCTGTAGAGAATCTACTGTATTCACACCTGTTGTCAGCTTTCATCAGCGTAGTGTCACTTTGTTTTCACTGTTAGCCAATGAATAAATAGCAACAACCCAAAACTCTTAAAGATGTACAAATGAAAATTAATTTAGTTCTGACCTTACTAAAAAAGCATAATACATAACTGCTGTGACAGAAGGGTTTTATGTTTCTATGCAGTAGATGTCTCGTAGTGTTGTGCAGTTTGGTTTTCGTTTCTCATCTATCTGCTAGAGCTTATCTTTGATTTTGGGAATCATTGTGAAATGGGCAACTTATTGGGCAGCTTTGTCATGTGCTCTGTTTCATTTTGTTTGTGTATTCTGAAAGAAAAGCTGTGTTTTTGTGTGGTGTCAGGTGAGAGAGTGGGAGAGTCTGCGTGGCTTTGCCATTTCGTGTGCCTGTGGTGTTTCATCCCATCTTTAATTACAGCATGGCCTAAAAAAAAACAAAAAAATTCACCAACCGTCCGATCACTGCTCACATTCACCATGGAGTACCTGAAATGGAGCTTCTGTATCTCTCTCGCTTGCTTTTTCTCTCTTTCTTCATCTGTCTGTGTGCTGCATTTCAGATCTTATTGCTCTGACATGGAATTCTCTGACTGTGATTCTGATCTTTTGCATACAGTGCTGCTGCTGCTGCTGCTGCTTGGAGCAGCTCTGCATGCCTTCATCCTTCTGTACCATCACAGACAGCTCATTAAACAAAGTGCATGAAGACAGTGGCTCTTAGGGTGAAGTTTTCACGTGTTTGAACGAATGTCTGGCTGACTGTGTTAAGGATGGCTAACCATGCAACAGCCACCTTTGTGCACTTTAGATAATTTTTGTTTGAATCTTTTTAACAACTTCTTGTAATAATACTGTTTGCCTGCATGTGCCTTGTAATGTTCTTGTCCTCATTTCCATCCATATGTTCATCCGCTCAGCTATGAATGACCTGCTGCAGACAATCACGGTGGCCGGGGGTCCGGGGCCTCAGTGGGCAGGCAGCACCGACAACCTAGATGGCACTGAGGCCGGAGATGTAGGCGTGACGGGCCGAAGCAGACGTAGCGGTCAGCGCATGAAAGAACTCGCCTTTTCTACTAATGCCATCGACTGTGCCACTCTCACCCTGCCCACTGCAGAGCACAGCCGGGCCAAGCACCAGCTTCAGGTCAAAGGTCAGTAGTTTCGTGTGAGGGTGCAAAAAAGGAAGTACAGGGTTTTTCTTGGGGGGGTACACAGAATGGACCTTTCAATATGTTTGGTAGCTGTCATATCGGAGTGCAAAAAATAGCTATAGCTTCACGCTCGTCTGTTTCTCAACAGATCATGTCTCCTGCGAGGATGTTGGCAGCTCCCTAGATGACCCCAAAAGTCAAGGTAAGTCTTGACCTGACATCAGACTGAAGACTTGTCAAATGAAAAGAAAAAGGATGGGAAATTGCAGCAGCCTTTCAGCACCAGCTGTGCACGTTTGAAGGCGATTTATTTGAGGAATATGAAAAGACTAAATAGCTTGAAAAAAACAGGTCACGTCCTCAGCGGTCCCACTGCTAATCTTTCAGCTGCCTTCCTGCACTTCGACTAAGCCTGATCTACGGTAGGAAAAGCAATTTTATGAAGCACAAGAGAGAGGGGGAGATCAGCCTCCACTGAATGTAGGATTGACTCTATTCCAGGCTTTAGGACTTTATCCAGGGCAGTTAATCTGCAGACAGGCAGCTGTTCATCAGTTTTAGTTCGCCCTAATGTAGATGACCCAGTTGTTCAACAGCTGCCAAACTACTGCCACACATTCCTAGCACTTAAATTAGGTCTACACTCTGTTGGCATCAGTTTTGTCTGAGTTTTTCATTGGTTGAAATGTTTTTTTGTAAAATAGTTCACCTATAATCCAAAAGGATCTTAGAACTGGCTCCCCTAGACATGCTGTGGCATTAGTGCCCAACCTGGATTCTGTTTGGCTGAAGAGTTTCCACAATGCACTCAAAAAAATCCAATGCATTGATGTGAGATGCACTTCCGCAGTACATCGCCATAATGGCTGGAGAAAACATCCACTCTCGCTCACACCAGACATTACCTGTAATGCTTCAGACAATAGCCCATCTTCTAGAGATGTTGTGTGTAAAAGCATTGATGGCAGCTTCACATACATTCTTAATTTTTAAAACTGCCATTAAATTCTCTGTTTTTGTTTCTTTGTTCCAAATCATTAAGACATTCAACTTTGCTAGTTTTGTACAACAGGCAGCAGTAATGAGCAGTGTGATGTACCCCAAACATGTTGTATTGTGAATGTGTGCACATCTTATCAGGCCTGCAGGTGTATAGCAGTGTTTTGGCTCTGTGTCCTTCCCCTGTTGAGCTGAGCGTTATGTGCAGAGTGCCCTGTAGCATCTGTAGTAAGTGACAACTACTTGGCACTGAATATCACTCTGGGCCACAAATACTGGGCTGGTTTCCTAGACACAATAAGAGCTTTGATCGGTAACGTAAAGGTAAATCTTAAATTTGAATTTCATGTCACTCATGTCCTGTAAACCAGTTTGAAATGACCTCACGGCCCCTGGTTTCCAGCTGAAACTGCTCCAAAAAACACAGGAAAGAACAAGGTCACATTGTCACCACTCCTTTTGATAATTCACTTTCTCGTTCTCCTTGTGTGTACATGTTCATTTCTTTTATTACTAATTTTCCTCACACACTCATCTTCTGTTAATCAGTATGGTCTCTGTCAGTCAGTCCACTCTTCTCTAAGGTGGACCGGTCCTTGGATTTAGGTGTCCCTGCCCTCCTAGCCAGAAGTTGTTGTTTTGTTTACTGACTGGCCATGCTGGGGCTGCAGCCTGGCACCGGGCCTTCCTTCCTGTCCCTCTGCCTGTCACGTGCCATCTGCTGCCCCAGCAGGACACTTTGTCAGTTATCATGTGCCTACGTGTCACTCTTTGTGCTTGTGTGGATACATGTATGTGTATCTATATCCTAACTGTGTGTGTGTGTGTGTGTGTGTGTGTGCGCCTGTGTCTTCCCTTTTGCCCCTTACCCAGCCTCCAGACCCTCCAGTCTCCATAGCAACAGGACCACCACTAGTAATAGTAACGTTAACTCCCACCTCACTTCTCCTCTGGAAGGCGAAGGTATGATCCTCCTTCCCTAAACCTCCATTTCTCCTCTTAACTAACCACTCTTGCCTTCCTCTTCTGCTCCCTTTATCTTTTTCTTCAGTGCCTTTACTTTTACCTGCTTTATTGCCTCGTCCTGTAAAAACTGTATCAAGCCGGTTTGTCCTGATTTAAAGCTTAAGGCTTACTACATTTAGTCTCTCGCTTTTTTTCTGATATTGAAGTTTCACTGAACAAATCCAGATGGGTAGATGGTGGTTTGGTGCATTTTTACGGCACCATGGCACGAAAATGATAGATTATTGAATATTAAACATAATTTCATCACATTCCTTATAGATCAGTCTCCTCTCTTCCACTGTCAAGGCATCAGTGATGGATGGCGTTATAAAAGAGTAATTGACGAGCTGCAACACATTTCAGTTATGAAGACTTAATACACTTCAATCTCAAACTATTTTACAATACATTTTGCTTCACATTACCTTATGAGATATTAACATGTAAGCCATGTAGGCAAAGAGTGGTTTGATCAATACTAATGCAATTCCTCGTGGTGAATGATAAAGGTCAATAAAGATCATAAATATCTTTCCCAGTGATGAGACCGTTTCCCCCTCCCACAGGCGCACTGAACGGCAACATCAGCAGGCCTCAAAGTGAGAGCAGCGGAGAGTTCAGCCTAAGTTTAGACCAAGAGGTGTGGTCCAGCAGTGGTAGCAGCCCTGTCCAGCAGCCCACCTCATCACGTTCCTCCCACCAGAGCCCGCTGCAGCTGCGCAGGTCCCTTGACCCGTCCACCACCGCAGGCAGTCCCAGCCAGCTCCAGACCAGGAAGACAGGATCCCTGGGTAGCGAAGTGCTCTCCCTGCAGCAGTTCCTGAATGAGGGTATTGATCCAGCAGAGGTAAGGCCTCTAGCTCCTTTATAACTCATGTGTTACTATGTGTTGGATTTTATGCACTTCTAACATAAAGATATTCTGTTTACTGCTTCATATGACCGAGAAAAGCAGCTGATCGTCATTTTGAAGAAACTGGAAACAAAGACTGTTTTGTTAAAAATCTAAGAATTATTCAACTAATTGTTTCAACTCTTATCAAATTATTAAAGGCAATATTGGCACAGACTTAGTTAATAGTATTTGGTCAAAAGAAAATCACACCTTTGATATGACAGGATTGTGTATGAATGTTTTTGGTGTTTTGTTTCCTCTGTCGTACATAGTCCGGCAGTCAGGAGAACCTCGCTGTCGACTTGACTCGCCTCTCCACTACTTCTGAGCACGTGCAGAAAGAGCGCACTTCCACAAAGGGACGGGGCATATTACGCTCATCCAGTGGGAAAGCAGCACCAGTTAGCGCTGACCGTCCACCGAGATCCTCTGGACAACCGGGGCGCCCATCCCTGCGGAAGGCAGAAAGCACCCGTGTGAAAGGCTCCGTCCCGGTCCGCTCCAGCCTGTCCTCGCAGGGAAAAGCCACATCCGTCTCTGAACGCCTAGACTCCACCTCCTCTACGTTGCCTCGGGCCAGCAGCGTCATCTCCACGGCCGAAGGCACCACACGGCGCACCAGCATCCACGACCTGTTGTCCAAGGACAATCGGCAGCCTGTGTCAGTTGACGTGTCTCCTCCTGTCGCTCCCATGAAGGCTGGGCTACGCTCCCAGCCTACACCCAGTGAGTACAACCCCAAGATCACCAACCTACAGGGACCCCTTACCACCATCACACCCCTGCCCAAGTCACTCAGCTTGCCATGCCATAGCTTGGATGACCCTGACCTCTCCACCCTCGAGTCCTTTCTGGGCCCCTCCTTCACTGTTGAGTCAGTGTTCATGGACTCCATCTTTAGCGAGTCAGCAGGCAATAACATCCCTTTCCTGTCTCTAAATCCCACCCTAGTCAGCAACATCAGCGGGCCACCTGTTACAAATAAAACACACCCTCTTCCTAACCACAACCACATTTCCTCCTCAAACCAGACCCCTCATAGCCAAACAAACAGCCAGATGACATCCAGCACAGCCAGTTTGAAAGAGTATAATGAGGGTGTCGATCCAGATCGTGTGAACAATTCAGAGCAGTCACTGAGCCCAGAGGACAGCCAGTCTCTGTGGTATGAGTATGGGTGTGTGTGAGTGACAGGCAGCTTCTGGGTTGCTGATCTCTGTACCAGACTTGACTCAGAAGAGAGAATGAAAGGATGGACACTGACCAGTCCTCCTCCTCTGCATGTATCATCAGAGCAGTCTGTCTGTGTGCTGTGCTGGTTTCCTTCTTTTCTGGTTTACCACAGTGCTGATCAGTGATTTGCTGTTTTTGTTTTTTCTTTTTGTGTCACCCCTGTTCTGACCTTTCTGTTCTCTGAGGTGGGAACTGGGATAAATGTTCTTCCATCCAAATGTCTGTGTCATATCACTGTTTCACTGACTAACATTACATTATTATCTGCTGTAATGGGTCTAAACGTCACAGTTAAGGCTCCAAATTTCTGCAGTGAGTAGAAATACTGGAGATTTATCAGGAATTGAGTTTCACATGCTGCCAAAACACACAAAGTGACAGCAGGTTCAGTGAATCTGTCAGAAGGATCTGTAAAAAGCAGCAGAACCACATACTGTCAGAAATGGCTGTCTCTGTTAGAGAGCAAAGCATTGTGGGACAAATCTTATAGTAACAGTTTCCTCAAATCAAAGTCACTGAATGTGTCAGATAACAGATCGACCATCCACTTTGTGTTTACTGTGATGTGTTGATGTAGGGGAGAGTGTCTTTCACTGCTTTACTTCAGTTGCATTATCCACTAAGCTGCATGGCTTTTTTCTGTCTGGCCTGAAACACCGAGTTTGATTACTGTGACCAAAATGGTTTTTGTTTCTCTTGATGGTGTGTATTGTTTGTTTTTGTACATTTGACACATTTTTGTTTATATATATATATTAACTGGAGTATCTGATGAGATTTGAGCTGGTGGACAGTGACAAAATGATGACGCTTCATTCCCAAAACGATCAGAGGGGCAGATTTAGTAAGTGAATGTAAACAGTGACTGTGCAATACGACCAGGATGACTGTTATGTAGAGTTCATGAAACAGGGAGTTGGCAGATTGTTTTGGGAGTGACACCAACATCATTTATTTTGGTATTTTTAAACTTTTATATCCTGACTCGTCCTAGTTTGCAGATGGATAATATTTGATCATGCATTTTCGACTGACAAGATCATGTACAGATTATCATTATTCATTTATAATCGATGACCAGAACTGCTCATTGTGCCGATACTAGTGGACCTGTCTGCATCTAGATCCTTATTTATTCTCGTTGTTCTACTCTGTAGTTGCTCTGTTGTATTTATCTTGATCTACAGTATGTACAGGTAACAAGCAAATGATGATGTTTTTGTCACTGTCTACAGATGTAATAAACATTGCCTTTGTCCTACAGATGTGGAGGGCAGAAAGTCTAAAAGCAGGAGCGGGGAGCAGCAGCAAAGCTGCTAAAGCCGTCCCCACCCTCGTCTGTTTGCTACCCTGCTGTGAGCGCGTGGTGAGTGAGCGCTGCTCGAGCGGGAGCTGTAGGGAGAGGGAAGGGGTTTGGTCTTGTCTCCATGGGAACCTAAAACATGGTGTAACAGATGTCTTCCATCCTGTCATGCACTTGTTTCCCCTGCTTCTCTAAGCTGTTACCCCAAAGCTCCCCCCTCACTGTCCAGACTGTCACCCCACTGGCCCTGTGGTGCCAAACGCCTGTCACAGTCAAATGGGAAACCTGGTCTGCATGGCATATGGGCCGTTTCACCACACTGCTCTGGGTGGATGAGCGCTGTGCCTGTTTGTGCCCCTAAATGTCCCAAAGAGAAGTTGCCCGACTCCAGCAGCTCAGCACATCCCTCCTCTGTGGCCTCTTGTGTTGTTGGTTAAGACGACTGCTGAGTGTTTCTTTCCGGTGCTTTCAGACTTGCTGCATGGCTTTGGTGTAGTGCTAAAATCCTTCCCCCCCCCCTTGAAAGCGCATGTAGATCCTCTTTTAAATCACTGGCTGTCTTTACTGATGCAGATTCTGACTTTTAACATTAATCTTTCTATTCTTCCTCTGTGTCCTATTTCCTTTCACCTGGGCTCTTTACTTTTCTAATCTCTCCTTTTCTCTTTTCTTACTCTGTCCACTCCTCCTTGCTTGCCTGGGACTCAGAGAAAGGTGGACTTGGAGCTGTGTGTCTGAAGCCGAGTGGAGTTAATCTGCTGAGACCATCTGCAGTGAGAGAAGTTTGTATATCCTAGCCCCCCCCTCCCCCTTTTTTTTTACCCAAGTCTCTTGAGTAGAGAAAAGTGGCTTCCTTCAGGTTTTTTTTTCCTTCCTTGAATCAAGGAAACGACAAACAAAAAGTTTTTTCTATAAAAACTGCAGTGGCAGATTGAACATGTCCTGATAGATGTGCACTCATCTTTGCTTACTAAGATTCAAGTGCCAGTATTCACACAAACCCAGACTCCCTTTTGGATCTTCTGTGCAATTTCATTTTGCCGGACGCCAGGATCATGCAGCAAATGTGGATCGTCTTGTAAACTGGGAGCATGCACACGCAACGTTGACAAACCATGTTCAAAGCATGTCCACACAAACATTTGACTCAATCTAAGACTGAAGAATCACAATCTGCATGGAGCAGTCAGCCAATCACCCAGCTTCCTTTGTCCAGTCAAAGAAGAGGACGACATTTAGTGAGGATTTTACTCGCCAGGATGTGAAAAGGACTTGACGAAGCCGTGACAGCTGTGTGACTGTCTGTCATGAGTGAACGTTGTATGAACTGAAAGAGAAGCAAGAGACTGGTCATGAGAGTGTTCTTGGCCTCCTATGTGACAGCTGTCCGTACAGAGAGATGACCTGAAATGAAATTCATCTTTACTTAAATCATCATACACCAACAGTGACCATCGACCAGACAACCATTTCATCTAATGTAGCACTTCCCGTTCTGCTCTGGAGTATGGGTGACCTGTAACCTGCCCAGTACAGCTCTGGTGTTGTGATGCTGAACATGATAGTGATGATGAGACCCAGTGTTTTAGTCCTTTTCCACTTTTGCATAAATCCATTTGATGTAATTAAAATTGGTCAAGACTGCTGTTTGTTTGTATTTTATGTCGAGCCCTCCCAGAACATAGGGACAAATGAAACCACGTTACAGGTTCCTTGTGGAAAAAATGGGTTTCGATGAGGAACCCGCATACGAGTGAAAATAGCGTAAGAAAGCTGTTTTCTTTCTCCTTTTCAGTGTTGCACTAATTTGAGCATTTTGGCATTAAATGCACATGAAAAATGAACTTTTTAAAAGGGTTTTGTTTTGGTGTAGACTGTACTGTTAAAATCAAACATAGCTCCAAATGATGTAATATACTTCACCAGTTTGTTAGGTACTCCTGGAAATGTAGTGCTCTACAGCAACTCCAGAAGAAATCCTGCCGGGTTATGGCTGCTTTTACTCCATTACATTTATTGGATAGCAGTAGTTACTATTAGTAACTATTCATATTTGATAAACATATGACAATTCAGTAAACAAAGTCACCTATTAGTCTATAAAATGGCTTTAATTGGCTCCACAGTTATCCAGTTATCTAATACTATATGTAACCCTGACAGAGCTTGTCACCTTGCATAGTGGACACTAACACATAGAGTACATTGTCCTTAATAGATCTACAGGTTGGAGTATTTTTACAGACTGGTATTGATTGGTGGTTTTCCTTGAGGATCTGAGCACTTGTGTCATCACTGGTATTATGTTATTGACAAGTGTTTGTATTTTGTCCACCCCATTTATTTTAATGATAGTAGACAGAATAACAAACTCCTTTATAAGATGAGACATTTCAAATATGTGTATGAAAATGGGATGTTTGAGAATACTCTTCCAATTTAGCATTACACTCCTGTAACATATAAAAAGATGTTTAATTAAAAAAAAGAAAGGATCAAATCCTGTGGAGAACCACAGGCATGCTCCTGTCCCATGCATTCTTCTTAGCTACACCTGGGGCCTACATTACCCACAATGCCACTTGACCCCATACAGCGCGATGGGAGACTCGGGTGCCAGAGTCCAGCGGAGCTGAGGACTGGCTGCAGGTCTCTGTTAAGTTCACTAGTTTTTTTTAATCCTCCACACCCTCAGATTTTCACTGTCAAACCTGTGGCCTCAAAAGGCTTGATGCTTTTAGATGCAGTAGTTCCTCAAGAAGTGTAAAATAAACAGATGTAAAATTAGTTTCCCTCTGAACTTCACTTGAAAGCTTAATTTCAAGATGTACATTATTTCATGTAGCTGCATGACTTAAATTTTTACTTAGATTCTGAAATAATGTTCAAAGTAGTGAAAATATTATTGAAGCTTCCTGCACAGCTGTGATGTTCCCATACAGCCACTCTCACTGTGGCTGATTAGACTTCTTCTCAGACATCTCCCTCACTCGATTGTCTTCTTATACCTGTTAGAGGGGGACAACTTACTCTATCAGGCAACAGTTAATGGACTATTTGTTGATTTAATAGACTTTTTGTTGATTGTCTATGAAGAGACCATAAAGTGATGCAAAATGACAACTCCTTTGTGGCGCTGAGAGTTCAGGTAGCAAAATGTTACTGTAACAAACAGATGCTCCTATATAGGAGATGTGGGAGTCTCACTGTCCAATAATCCACCCATACTTAAACCTCATTTTCTTCTTTGTACAGGGTAAACTGAAGTAAGAAGAGGTCTAATCGTCCAGAACAAGTGAGAACACTGGTTTGCAGGGCCTCTGACAAACAAAATACAGATGGCTAGATGTATTTGTATCTGTGATGAGCATCCACTCACCATTTTGGTATCCTGTCCTGCTTGGTCTGTGCAGAAGCCTTTCAACATGTCCACAATGGCACCCCTGATGTGAGCCACCACAGCAGAACACGTCCTGCCTGAGTGATGGCAGAAGGATACTGCCGTGCACCACAGGTATGACAACACTCTACACGCTCACCTGGTATCTGTAAAGGTCAAGGTCAGTTCCTGCTTCCTGTAATGTTCCTCTTGTTCACACTGGTCATGAGAAGATCCCTTCATTCTTCTGATGGAGATGGGGAACAAAACCTAGTCCTTGTTCCTTTCCAAAGTCCAGCAATGGAAAGGAACATATTCACCCTGCTGCTATACTTGGGTATAATTTTGAGGTACTGTTACGATACTTGAGCCTTTTATTTAAAGCAGCTTTTAGATGTTTGTTTATATAGTAGAATATCCTTTTAAAATCACTACATTGAATTGTAATATAATTCAATGATAGGACTAAATAACAAAGGTTGCTGTAATCATTACATTATACTGTAGTATATATTTATCTGTTTTACTAAGAGCCTGTAGAAATGAGCCCAAATTTGACAACTCCTGATTATTTTCTACTTTTAGTTACTTTTAGTTTAGACTTGAGTGCTTTTGGGGTTTTATGGTAAAATACAGCAAGAAAACTGGTAATGTGCTAAAATAATACCCAATAAATTTTGCATTTAAAAAAAAGTTCTACCTCAGCCAACTAGAATTGCAAAATATATTGTAATACTCTCCGTTCCTACAGAAGCAGCCCGACGTTCTTGTGGTATCAACGTCCTTTTATTTGTAATAACTTAACAGGCTTCCATGCTGTTGTTTCAGCCACAGCACACGCTAACGAGCTCTTTTTAAACTCCCAACATTCAACACTCCACAACAACACGAACAACTGCCTGCTCTTCCTCGCTCTCTCCTCCCACACCCCTCACAGCGCCCCCCCTCTCACATTCTTTCAGGCAATAACATGTAGAACCATATAACAGGATGCTAGACATTAGAACCATTACAATATATATACATGGATGCATCAGTAATAATAATTTGACCCTATATAATGTCACTCACAGGTGCCATTTTTCTGCAGAATAACTTTTGATACTTCATATACATTTACCTGTTAATATTTTTACTTAACTAGGATTTTGAGTGCAGACTTTTTTCTAATGGGGCTGTTATGTCAACTTAAGACAAACCAAATACATATTTGCATGGCAGAATTTTGATCCCATCATTGTTCTTGCATTAGGAGGGGATCTCTTAATGACCAGTATGAATAGGAGCAATGATCACAGCAACAAAAAAGCCATTTCTGTGACCTTAATTATTTTAAGGCAAACTTGGAAAAAATGTGAACCAAGTTCAGCCTCGCTTGTTTTTTGACTGGTGCAGCTCAGGCTGATTTGTTTACCTCAATGCCTGCCCCCCCCCCCTTAAAATTTAAACCTTAAATTGTAGTCATTATTCCTATAATACCTCTGAAAGTGGATACATAACAGATCTTTTCCCAATAACCATGAAAAATGATCCAAAGACATCTTAGTTTTTAATGATTTTTATTAAATGTATGGTCATGCAAAAATCCAGCATCCAATTGAAACTCTTGGTACAGATATTTAGCCCCTTCAGTATAATGTTACAATGCAATAAATTTACTAACAAAGGGGGTACATACAAGCTAAGGCTTTTGCTAATCTTTTATGCATTTTAATGTGAGATAACAGTTGATTTTCAATATCTCAGAACCATTTCATAACCTTTAGGATGCAAGTAACATAGATTTCCATTCTCTATCAAGTAAACTGTGAGAAGTTACCAGAAAGTAGACATGCATATTTCTTCCATTTGTAAAACTGCATATATAGTGTTGCCATAAAAGATTGTGGTTTTTAATTACATTTTTCTAACCTTTTGTTTTAAGCGTTTCAAGGATCTGTTCGCCCCCTGTCTTCATCTGACATATTTACCAAAGTATCTGGACTATGGAGTTAAGTTCCGCACCCATTGGCATTAAAAACACATGAATCAAAACAGCAGACAGCAAGCTACTTAACCTACTGTTAGTGATTTTGTCTTGCAGGTAGTTGATGTGATCAGCCCAAAGTTAAGTTTATATTTGGTCACGTATCACTGTTGTAGTGAGACTCAAAGGTCGATACCCTGTTGTGTTAAAATGCACTTATTAAATTTGAGTGGATCTCTGACACGTCAGCCGAAGCAGGGAATTCACCGTATAGTAACTGATAGGGAGACAAACACAGGCTGTAATAGTTCTCCTTATGCAGAATATGACTGCTGAAATGTAAATCCTGCTCACTGTTCCAGTTGACATAAAATATCCATAGCGTAATTTCAAGTAGTGTGATTTAAAAAACAATTTTTTTTTATCTTTATCATTTTCGGAACTTAAGTCAATAAACTGATGTGACACAGAACCCATTTTAAATGTTCTATTTACATCAAGTACTGAAAATGATTTGTGCTGTCATTCAAACCTGTGCTTTCCCTGCTACGGCATGTCTGCGGTGACTGTCTACTTTGGCTTCATGTTAAGTTGTACAAAAATGCTACTTTGAACTTGATCCAAAATGTCCAGATACTCTGGTAAACTGTGCAGCTATTTGAGATGGCCTTTTACATCTAACCGCATTGTACTCTGATTTAAACACTCCATGACTGTGTGGAAAATACACACACACAATGAAAGAAAAGCAACTTGTCAGACTGGTAGCATCAACAAACAACCGGGCCAGTGCCCACAGCACAAACATAACTATTTAGAGCCATAAAAACGTCACATAGTTTCAGTACTGGGTTTACAACGCATTGTCGTCATAGTCCAAAAAGTGGGGGCGCGGAGTTTTTATGCCGTGTCAGATGTCACAGCACTCAGAAGCACAGGCGGTTGATACAGTAGGACGGGCTCACATGATTCACAACATTTTTAAAAATCTGCTTGATGAACAGACATTTGTGATGATTGAAGCATCACTGTGGTTTCTGCTTTTAGGTAACCACCACCAACAGCCAAACTAGTGCACGAGTTACTATGGAGCAGCAAGCCTCAGCCCTCCACTGGTACAAAGTCACACACACACACCAAGTTTCTACAACACAGTGAGAAAACAGTGCTGCGGAGTTTAATCACTGACAGATATGTTTAGTCCTCTTTAAAGGGAGAATCTTTGATCTCATGTGCTTGTATGTTCTTGTGAACATATAAAATTAGCCATAAGAGTGCCCCAAGACTTCAGCATTGTGTGTGTACTGATCAGTGGACAAAAAGTGGTTGTAGCATCCTCCATTCGGTTCGACACAATCTTTTATAGCTCTGGCTAAAACCATAAAATGTCAACAGCGACACACTAACTACAGCATTTACAACAAAAACTGTGACAAAAGGGACCAAATCCACTGACTGCCATTAACGAAGGTCCCACAGCCCTCTTCCAATCATGCCTTTTTTTTTTTTGTCCCTCAGCTGCATTGCTTTTTTTAACATGCTTTTTATAGTGCCAGGACTTCACACAGAAGTACAGCAAGCCAAGACGGACAATATACAGATTTTAAGAACACAATCAGAACAAGAGACGGGCATAAGGGTGACACTATTGTCATCACACGGTGTGGCGCTACTAAGACAGGGATGGTCACAAGAGTAACAGCTGTGGAGAGTATAAGAGGCAGGAATGATGGAAGTAGAGGACCATGGGTGGGGGGGGGCCTTCTGGTGAGCGCAACCTGAAGTTGCAGAAAGGTTCACTCCCTCAGAAGAGGGAACACAACAGCATCAAGTCTTAAGTGTCTGTGCAGAAACAGTACAGGCCATTAGATAGTTCAGGCAAATCATGCTTCACATCAAAAATAGAGATAAAAGAAAACCAGAGAGTTGGTGTAGAAAGTGTGTCCGTGCTTTTAGATTAGGTAGGTCAGAGATGTGAAGAGCTTCAGACTCCTGTAGTACACACAGATGGAGGCCTTCTGCAACTTCAGGATAAGCTGGCCCGAATGTTGGGTCTAAAGCTGAAAAAGGCTCAACCCTCAAGGCCGGAGCTTAGGGACCTAGAGTGATTGTGTTTGTATTTACACTTTGGGGATAAAACCCCTCACTCTCATGCGCAACTCTCTGCACCCTGAAAGTCAATTCACCCACCCCA